CGTTTCAACTACTTCTGTACGCGGGGTGCGGGAACTTACCTACCCGAAAGACTTACCGCAGCGTACATTAGGTATCATGAGCAGTCCAATACGCAATTAGCATAGTGTACAGAGCCTAATCTGTGTGTATTGTAAGCTCCGCCCCATCCATCGACTCTTTCGCGATGCATCCATCAATCATGAGACCGGAAATTCAGCAGATTCACAAAATTGATGTTCAGCAACAATATCTGCTCAAACTCGACGAAAATTTAGATCTAGAAGTTTTCTGAGGTGCTCTCTTCAAATATGCTATTGGTTTTGCGCTGCCTTTGTCTTACAGGAGCCGAAACTTTGCTTTGGTGAATCGACTTTTAGCTTGAGAAATCTCGACAAAAAATAAAGCAATAACCTTAGGACGCATGTAAAACTGCTTTTTCACTTTTTCTCTCGGAACATTGTCCTGAGAGAAAAAGTGAAAAAGCAGTTTTCTAGTGAGAACAGCATGCCCTCAGGATGTGACCTTAAAGGCAGCGTCCAGGCAGATCTGAACCTATGGGGTTTTTACGTGGAAAGTACTTTTGGGGCCCCAACTAAGGCACTGCCCAAGCGGCAGCTCAGGTAGTGCTGTAATGGCTGAGATATTCCCCTCGAAACTGGACCCCGCGACCGTGTTTCGCATGGATTCATGGCGCAAAGCGTGGATCCTGGCGCGAAACTGCCATGAATCCATGCGAATACGTTCGCGGGGGCCAGTTTCGAGGGGAATATCTCAGCCATTAGAGGACTACATGAGCTGCCGATTGGGCAGTGCCTTAGTTAGGGCCCCAAAAGTACTTTCCACGTAAAAGCCCCATAGGTCCAGATCTGCCTGGACGCTGCCTTTAAAGGCAGTGTCCGGGCAAAAACTCGATTTTGAGATTTTGTGCTTACCCGGGCCTATTCGCTATGCTAGATCCGAAAATTCACATTGGAGTGCGCGAAAACGACGAATCCCCACTGTGAATTTACGCTTCCAACTTCTAGAGCAATTTTCTCGAATCCGTTAGCCGCCCTGACATCATTACCGATCAAATGCAAACGAATGACTTGAAACCGGAATCAAAAAGATCGCCTCCGAAGCTAGGAGCGTGAATTCACAGTGGGGAAGACCAGCCCACTTTCTGATTTCCCACCAGTGTTAGAGCCCTTTTTCGTCGTTTTCGCGCCCTCCAATGTGGATTTTTGGATTCAGCATAGCGAATAAGCCCGGGTAAGCACAAAATCTCAAAATCGAGTCCTTGCCCGGACACTGCCTTTAATGATAAAAGACTATGAAGATGAGCTAGTCTATCAAACGATCAATGTGTACAGGACGCTGCACATGTTTTTGTGATCTAAATATTTTATCTATATAATTGATATATATTTATAAATGTCTTGGTTCCATGCCAAAAAGGTGCTATGTGTGGGCGGGGCTTAGCTTAGCGCTGTATCCTAAGGAGCACCTGGATTCAGCGATCTCGCTATGCCTGATTATACCCCGCAGATAGACAACCATGAGGTGCGAGATTATCTCGGGTAGGTAAGTTCCGTTCCCCCCGTACGCGGCGTAGTAGAATTTCTTGACAGTAGAAAATTAAAGCAGTTTTATCTTCCCCAAATGCAGAGGATCACCGATCTTCATCTCATTCTGTATTTACAGCTTTGCATACCAAAATACCGCAAATCAATCAAGCAACTGGACTAGTTTTGGTAGGTCCTAACATACATTTTTCGACATGCCTTCTGTTTACATAGGAAAAACTACTGCTGTTACAATTACCTCCAGTTACCTTATTTTACAACCCGAACAACGTCAGCATGTGTTTGAAGGCCTTGTTCATGCTTTTCCAGCAGTTGTAAAACGGTATTTCAGTTTTCATAGCGAAAAGATGACGAATCTCAAATAGATATCCAAAGTTAACCAACTATCTTGAGCAAAGCGGGCCTGTGCTCTGCTACTTTCTAGGAAAAGCAAAAAATTTCAACTTCATAGGTTATTGAGCTCGTTCCTCATGCAGAAAAGGTTACTATAGCGGATAAAGGAAATAGAATAAAGTGTTATATGTAATGGATAAAAAATTTTACAAAGCTGACTCTGAAAATGTCATGTTTTTTAGCTCCAATAGCTCATAGACTTCTGTGAGCCTTTCGCCTTTCGTTGGTCAAGAACACAGAAAAAAGAGTGGATTCTGCGATATATCGTCCTCTACACAGTGCGGCCGAGTGTAGAAGAAGGCTCTTCCAGAGCAGGAAGGAGCTCAACTAAAGTGAAATGGCTCAAAAGCATTGTCCAGGTCAACTGGGGGTTTCCTGACACGTTGTGTAAGCACGGCTCCTGACTAACGCAACAGTTCAATCCGACCTAAAAAGGTGGAATCTGAGAGAAAATTGCTTGGAAAAAAAGGAACAGTACTCAATTCCGCCCCCTTGACAAGTTTTGACGTGGCCAATCCAGTAGATCTAGAGCATTGACCACGTCAAAACTTGTCAAGGGGGCGGAATTGAGTACTGTTCCTTTTTTCCAAGCAATTTTCTCTCAGATTCCACCTTTTTAGGTCGGATTGAACTGTTGCGTTAGTCAGGAGCCGTGCTTTCACAACGTGTCAGGAAACCCCCAATTGACCTGGACAATGCTTTTGATTTTCAAGCAATTTTCACGCTTCAAACTCCACCTTTTTCGATCTGACTTAAACGGTTGCGTTAGTCAGAAGTCGTGCTTTCACAACGTGTCAAGATCGCAATACCTTCAGTTGACCTGAACAGTGCCTTTAATGGTCGGAATGAACAAGGAGGAGTTACGCCGAAGCCTCCTAAGCGTTCTTCAAAGTAGCCTTATGCATCGCAGCTTGGGCACTTGCCTAATGTATGATTCCACACAGAGCTCGGCCAGGCAGCCTACGGGGCAAGCTGGATATCGCTTTGGAATAAAAAGCAAGGGGAATATCGTTAGGGCGGAAATCTCGGCCTTCCTCCCCCCCCCCCACATAGTCGCCTTCTCCTTTTATGTCACCTTCCATCTTCTATAGAGGACTCAAATTGTTATTCCTGCCTTATCGATCCCCCTCCGGCAATGACCGAAAATTTGTTGTTTCAATAGGTTGCTGATTAAGCGCGCGAGTTCAAGACTGGCCCGATATAAACAAAAGACTTGATTACAGGAGGAAAAAATAAATGACATGAAAATTAGGGTGTAGATGAGCAAGAGGGAGTTAGGACTATGTGCTAAAAATTAAGGAAAAACTATGTGAGCTGAAAGCCTAGAACTTTTCTCGGAATTAGGTGCAGGGCCCGGCACTTGATTTGGAGCTTTTTTGGAAACGAAGTCCCCTATGATTTCGCGAAGAATTACGAAGTCCCTCCTGACGTGGAAAGCAATAGGGAAACCCTTACACAATGAACATAGCAATAAAAAAGCGAAAAAAGGCCCATTTTGAGGCATCTGATACAGTCGAGTAGATTTTCCGCTTAATATAGTGTGCTTGCACAATTTGTAAAGTGCATTAAATTTGCGCGTGAACAAGTAACTGCGCCAGCACTGCCGGATTGCGCGCGCGCCTGGCCGGCGTCACAGTCAAAGCTAATTCCTCACGCGCAAATTTTACCGCATTTCACCTTCTGTGCAAGCACACTATATTAAGCGAAAAGCGAAAAAGCGAAAAAAGCGAAAAAAGCCCATTTTGAGGCATCGGATACAGTCGAGTAGATTTTCCGCTTCGCTGATTCCAAATCAAGAGCAGATTCCAAATCTGTCAAGCAATATAGAAACAGTAGTAACATTTTTCCTAGCGTTTAAATCAATGGTCTAATTCAAGCACTGGTAAAATTTTTGCAACTTCATCCCAAAAAATATTCGTTTTTTTGCTCCATCAAAGCTCATAACTGCTTGTCCTGGAACGCTCCTCAGATAATGAGGACCGATTTGGGATCAGCATTTTAGCCCTCAACATCGTATACAAATCATCGCAAAAGCCCACTTAGACTGACCATCCTTCCCTTGTAAGATTTTTGGCAGTCATTACTTTACTAGATAGTGAATACAGCTTGTGTTTTAGCACATGATTCTCTTCAAAATTTTAGTCGGAGCCACAATTAGCTTTGGTGTTTGCGTAATCAGTTTCTAGAAGGTAATTTCAGTAATTATACTCGAATGCTAGGGTCTCTAGAAAGTTGTAGCCATGGCATACGGGCTCCTCTTCATAAAAACAATGCCCTTACTCTACTTAATGCTTCTTGGACATTGTGAAAGAAGTTTGAAGGCAGAAGTTTGAGCTCAGGATTGCAGTATTGTCAATGTCGGATTTGCTTCAGCAGCAAAAAGTCGGATTTTTTCCTTAATGCTCACGTCAAAAAGCATCCAGAAGGTAGATAAAACCCCGTCCCTTCCGATTCAGCTGAGAAACTGCAGAATTTCTTACTCAACGCAGGTTTGTGGAGCGAAATACATGTGAAAGCATTTTCAAGGCAAAAAAGCAGACAATCAGTCCTTTTTGGAGGTATGACGCAGCTTGACCAAAGCATTTAACGTGTTTAGATGTGTGCCTACGGGAGCTAAGAAGTGCTTTAATCAGTAAAAAACTTCGGGTGGACCTCTAACTTTGTCCAGCCTTCAAGCCTGCTAATTTCAAAATTTCCAGTTTTTTTTTTAATAACCGAACGAAAACGAGACCCAATTTGATGACGGATAGTAGAGCGGTAAACACACGGCTGTACCAAATTTTGAAACATTTTATTCACAACAGAGTGAGTTATGGCATTTTTTTAGAATGGACCTATAATTTTGTCCAGCACTGTATCGTCCCCTGGACTGGGCTTGGGATGACGTGGTGATTTTTGTTACTGTTGTGTTTTCGTGTGAGTAACACTTTGACCTTATGATTTGGGCCCTGAGCGTATGAATGAATGAATGAATGAAGGAATGAATGAATAATGATTAGGCAGTTCTCTGTCAGAAAAAATCCTTTGAAAAGTTGAAAGTTTATTGTCTATGAAACGACACTTCAAGCATTCATAATAACTGCGTTGACATAGGCTTCAATATTGCATTCGTTGGTTCCTCGGCGTATCTTGAAGAGGCCTAAAGTAGTGATTAGTTTTCTTGAAAATGATGTTTCGGTAAGAGTTCGCAAAGGCCCAAACAAATTTACCGTTATCTCCCCAGTCAGAGCTCCAGGAGTTCGAAACGAGCCAGTATTTCACACCATTCTCTACATCCCATCCTATGATTTTGATAACGTGACCTCCTTCGCTTTTTCCCCATGTGCGCTGAACTCAATAATTCAAAAAAAAATTTCTAAAAGCTCTTACTTGCAGGACAAAGTCATCATGTTTTCCCAAAGAGGAGTATGTTTTAACGCTGCTATTTGCTTGTGTAATTTGAAAATCGTTGATGACTTTTTTAAGTTTTTGTAAATATTTCTTTTATACACTGCTTTTACGGAGCAGGAGAATTTGCTCTTGCAACACAAAGACTACACACACCTCTTTTAGTTATCTTCACGTTACATATTTCGAAATTTTTGAGCCAAGCATAATCCGTTAACGAATATGTTTTTATTAGGTTGGAAACTAAGTTTTGCAACTGGTCTCATAACTTCCCTCTCACTCAACATGGCGCATTCAACTTTTGTCACTGCGTTGGTTATTACATAAGCTACAAACGCAGCTGCTGTCCCACCAAATTCTGACGTCGCAGTGAGGGTTACGGTATGGAGGGGAAAAGTTCAAAGTTTGACGGATTTGGCTGAAACTTAGCATAAGGGTGTTACCCGACATGCTAATCTCGAAAACGATAGTGAAATTGCGTGATAAGGGCTTTTTGTAGGATTAATGTAGGTGTACGATATGGGGCCTCACCCTAAACAAGGAAAAAGGCGTTAATTCAATAAATGAATGTGATATTCGCGTTTGGCAATTTAAATAACCTTAGTATGTAAAGTCTCGAGAAAATTTGAACTTCGGACTCTTTAGTCATTGACGGTCGTCCCCAGCAACTCTTGCGTACATCGACTCGTTCGAATTTATGAGGACACCAAATCTCGATATTCCCCTGAATTTTGTTTCTTTCTCAATAGACCAAAGGAGTCAAGCTCCTGCAATAATTTGTAGACGGATCCGAATAAATGCGCATGTTCTAGTCTGCCAAAGGCTCCATTTCAGCTTGAAACCCCAAAAATTCTCAAGTTTCGCTAGTTTTCAAGAAACGCCTGAAACTTTTCCATTTCGTGTTCAAAATTTAGGCAATTTGAGCTCATTTGTAGACAACATTGCCTTCTACATATTGTCAAAATTTAATTGCGCCATATCCAAAGAGAGTGAAGCTATGAAACCAGTTGCAAAATTTAGTTTCCAGCCTATTACATTACGCAGCTGATAGACTCTAACAACGCATTCAACAAAGCTCTTCTAATCACAGCTTTACTTATCGCGCAAGCCTATCGATATAATTCAGAAATCTCCATTTACACGAACAAAGGTAAATGCTTCCATGCTTACAAAGGTTAATTGACCTTATTAGCAAACGTTTTGGAGAAAATTTGGATGATTCCTTTTATCATAGATTGCGTATGTAATAGGTGCAATCTGCTCTGCCATAAGTGATGAATGTACTGCGAAAGTTTCAAATTCAGCTTTATGGTGAGTACTCACTACGTATACTCCATTCTTGTAATACATGAGATCGCTGTAAGCAGTGAACGTTGCTTGAACGGGTCCATTCGTGAAGATTTCCTTTCGAATCGCATCTTCGCTCGCATAGACTTGATATGCGGAATTTGCTATACAGCACAACAAGATTACTTTTAATGCTGTTCATGCCGACTTGCCAATTACCGTAAATCTTGTCTCTGTTATAATCCATGTTATATCCAAACTGACATTGCGCACGGCAAGATGGTGTGTCTTCATTGTTTTTCAGACAATCACCATAATATGGTTGACCCTTGTGCTGACCACATGGATGGAAGGGGTGTGGTTTGCAGCAATTCTGAAGAATCGAGCAACAATTCTATCCCTTTGAGGGCATCGCATACCTTTGCATTGTATGCACCACCAGTACATACTCCATAGGTCATTCCATACTGAAAGGCTCTGATGCCGTACCCTCCACTACATCTGTAAATTATCCATAAGCACTTTTACTCCAATTGAAAGACAGGATTGGAATCAAGGTGTGAATACAAAATGCTGCTGAACTTATGTTTTTCTGCTGTATTAATTCCTCTCGAAAACATCTCAGTGCTTTCCTCAAAGACAAGTATTTTCCTGACAGTAAGTAGTTTGAGAAAATCAGTTCAATCCGAAGGACCTCGCTGAGTGCAATTGTAGTAAAAGTAAGAAAGCTTGGGTTTTAGGCCAAATTTCGTAAATATAATCAATATCGGAGTGCAGTTTAAACGGTAATACTCTGAGGTAATAATAAGCAGTCGAGATGCAATATATTATAGAAACGTCAAACATTGCGCATTTATGCAAACAAAAAAGTTTCGAGAAAAAAGATAAGGAGGATTTTTCATGGTTATGCTGCGGAGGCGGTTTTCTGTGAATGGAAAAAGGATTTGGTGAACGTGGCCTTTCGTTGTGTGACATATGTCATGATATCCGCCTTAACGCTGATTTCAAGACTGTGTTCATTGTCTGCGGAAGTATTCTTCGGAAAAACTGTATCTCTTCGCGTCTGACTTGTTTACAATAGAATAGATATAATGTTGATTGTGGCTAGAAATGTCGTATGTTCTGACGGTTAGCATTGTGTTATTGCACAGTGGACGTCAGTTTGATCTCTGTCGGTACGAATTTTGCTTTCGCTTCCCCAAGCGCTACTTTTTCTCAGGTAAGCGTTTGAGTTTTTTTTGAATCGAATTTTTCGAGCATAACGCTGTGGTGAGGATATAGGAGCTTGTTAATTTTAGGATGAATCAGTGAAAGAGATTGCAAAACATGGCTTTTCTAACAACGAGAATTGAGCCTCGTAAAATCCTAATAAATAATTTAGTTTTTCTCATGTGTTATACTGCGAAAGTAAATTCTTTGTTTGCTGACAAGCAGGTCATTGACAAAGCAGAACAAAAATGCTGGGTATAATTACTAAAGAGTCAATAAATGCACTTTACTAAAGTAAGATTCGAGAAACCTTAAAGTACAAAATATTAGTTTCAATAAGGAAGCACTTCACGTACTAACTTGTGCCTCCACTGGAAGTTGAAGAGCTTCAGAAAGCACCTCATGCTTTCACTTTGTAAAAATAAGCTATCTACTTATGCACTCAGTTTTTGATCTTTACAGACCATGTAGGTCTGTTGAAATTTATTATCGGTATATACACTTGTCTTTGATAATCGAGCATGTAAAGAGTGATTCCTACAAGGCAAACTTAAGACTGAGCGCTTTCAATGTCTCAAACGTTACCGATGCTGTTCGGTGAACAACCATTGAAACACTAGACATACCCATTACCACAAAATCCACCACAACATGCAAGAATATCTGTGTCTGAGATTATCCTCTGCAACAAAAGGTGCTTTCTGTCTCATATTTTCATAAATCGACTTTGTCAAACCTGATCTCGTCCATTGGTTTTTATGCACAATCTATCAGACATGGCTGAAACTGCAGATACACCCAACAAGATCCTGAAGTATGGGATTATACCACCATAGCTATCATTTCAAGTTCAATTCACCGCAATTTGCTTGATCTCTGATAGTCTTTATAGAACGCACTGGGGCCACTTTTCTCGAGCATCGAAACTGTAACGCATGTCATAAAATATTTTGTTCTATATTCTACATAAACTCTGAAAAAGGACCACATACCTTTCTGGAAGATGCTCATTCATAACAATCTCCTATGCTGTTACAGTTCCCTCAGGTATTTCCATAAATTTAAAATCCATCAGGTGTGATTTGAACTTTTCGTAGGACATCGTTGGAACTTCTGCCTAAAAAAACATTGTGTTATTTAAGGCGTGATCAGATCCTATGTAACTCAATTTGTTGTTTATCTGGTTACCTTGAAGAAATGTTGATTTGTGTTGAGATAATCAACGAGTTCTTGATCCGACATGTGGTTGACATCTGTCACACATGTAATTTTTTTTCTGCTGTTTGGTTAAAGTCAAATTGCAGCTATTTCACATAAGCTTTTAGCTCAAATGACCTCGAATGTCTTGTACAATTTTAAAGGATTAATGAGCTGTTACGCACTGACCTACAGACATGCCTGAAGCCGGTATAAAGAATACGGTTAGCAAAAACAGCATTTTGGCCATCTGGAAGCAAATATATAACATCAAAAAATGTTTTCAGAGAGACTTTTAATAAAAGTCAGTAAAACTTACCGTGTTAAAGTACGGATGGACTGGACCACATCAGTCAACACTGCTTCTTGGTATTTATGCACTTCCTTAACTTTTTTACGACTTAAATCTTGCGATAAAGAGATTAGACATGAAGTGATATGGGCGTTTACCAAAAACGAGTCAAAGTCTTGCTCCCAAGGGCTTAAAATCAAATTCCTTTAAGGTCGTATCATTGTTTTGAAGAAAAGGGTGGGGAATGTGTGGTTTTACGTCAAAATCCGAGAAATTTTGTTTAGAGGAATTAATGAATGCTACGTGAGAGTTGCATCATACTGTAGGCTACAGTAATATAGCTCACCTTAAGGTCAAGCTTTTATTTGCGCCAGCGAATTGCTCCTTTCCGTGAAGACAGATTGGCAGCATGTTGCTGATTGAGATGAAACATGTTTCAATTGCTGCGCTAACACCAAATCGTACATATTCTTCAAAGTGCAAAACATTTCTAAAATCGTCCCCCATATAGGCTGCGTTCACACTGAGTTTAAATGCTGTGCTGGAAATTGTTCTGAACATGCTGATCACGCAGCCATATCTTCCCAATCAGCGTCACTTATTCAATTTCTCATGTCAATAAAATAACCACTTTCAATTTTTCAGCTTGGGATTATGTTTCATTTAGTCATCGAACAACCTATTTTTAAAGGTCGAGCCTCCATTTTGTTGAGCCTTGGTGTACATTTTGAATACTCTTTTTCTGCAATTACCTAATGTATTTTCATTCTTTCCACTTCTTTGTAACTTTCTTGCGAAGAACACTAAGTGAATTTTGGTGTTCTAATGACCTTTACCCCAATCTACGGCAAAGCAGACGGGGAATGAGGGGTGCTTAGCTTTTATTGCAGAAGCTTATTCGTTATCATTGTCTCATGGGCGTTGCCAGTGGATGGCAAAATCATTACATAAGATGATTAAAATATTCTATCTAGTTGCTGTAATACAAATAAATGTTTTTGATTACCAGAGATAATCCCTAGCTTAACCTTTCCGTTTGACATCTTCAAATTCTTTAACTAAGTTGCTTTGCTTGGTGAATGTTTTTCTTTTCAAGCAATTGCTCTATGCACCTATGATTCAGCGGAGAAAATAAAAAAAAAGTTCAGCAATTATGTGCATAGCTAAAATTAAGCAGTTAGAGAATGTGCATGGTTTTACATTCTGGTGTGTATATCCTTTCACAGTATCTCCTATCTTCGAGGTGAGGAGTTCAGAGTTTGGGCCAATTTAATGACGGTTTCTACTTCTGAAGAAATAGGCAGAAATTGCCAGCATTGTCAGTGTTGCATGCTGTCTAAAAAACTTTAAGGATACCAAACTCTGATAGTAGTTTTTTCACATACGCTGATTCTATTAATCGATTCTGTACTTGCTTGCTAAAATGTCATACAATGTAACCGAACGATTATATTACACACCCCATGACTTTCGTTTGATGGCAGCGTCTTACCACAATTTGGCCCTCGTTATTTTTGCGAACTGCAAGCGCTCCCGACCTTGTAAGCCTATAGGACATATTTCCACGTAAAATCCCAGCAATCCCATTTTCCGAAGTCTCGTGCAAGAAGCGCGACCGATGTCCGGCTCTACCTTGGCTTCGGCTGCAAGGTTGAACACGTCAAAAAGGATGGTATCGTCTGAGAAGATGTGCTGAAACCATTGGGCGCAAGCAGTGCGCTCCGCGCGTCGTCTTAAGCCCAATTTCCTCGGCAGGAGAGAACTTATCAAGTGGGAGTTGGGCATTGGCATAGTAAGGAGGTGCCATAATAAAATGAGTAAAAATCCAGTGTACTCCAAAAATCTGATGGGATAATGTTTGAGAATTTATGAAATAGCGAAAGTACTTGAATGATATTAGCAACTGTGTGAGTAAATAAAGTTTTGATTTTCAAATTATTAAAGCATGTTTTCTTCTTTGAATATACTAATTTTTGCGCTTTTATTCCACGTTGTAGCTGTCCATCAAGAAGGGGTGCTCTGAACAACAAAGGACGATGTAGCAGTAGTGATCAAACAAAGGGACCCACTCGGGACATCTCTGTCACACAAGTCCATGGTTTTTCTCGTAATTGAAAGTCAGCCTAGTCCTTGCCAATCGACAGCTCATGTGATCGGTTATGGCCTTGAAAAAAAAACTCCCAAAATTAATTAGCGTACTCAATGCGAGCGAACCTGCCACGAAGCAAGAAAAAGTTATGTTGCCCTTTTCCAAATTAGCTAAAGCTTTCCAACCACTTTTCGAGTACGATATTGAAGAGCCTAAGTTGGTGAACACTGTCTCAAATCTTGAAATAACGGAGGATTAACAAAAAGACGTGTTAAACTTTCGGGACAGTATGAGTTTTTATAAGCTGTAAATTGTAGAAGTTGTATGTTTATTGATAGGCCGGCAAATAATATGACAAATGGTGTGGTGACATATGGCAAATGATATTTCCCCAATCTCACGTCAAAATGCATCCAGAAGGTAGATAAAACCTGTCATCTAGCTGAAAAACCGCAGAAATTCTTACTCAGCGCAGGTTTCTAGAGCGAAATACATGTGAAAGCATTTTTAAACAAAAAAACATATAATCAATTCTTTTTGGTATGACACACCTTGACTAAGCAACTGTTCAACACGTTTGAATGCGTACCTGCCTAAACCCTATGACCCTATCAAACGCCTTGGAGAGATCAACGTAAACCACATTAATAGAAATACCACTATTGAGTGCCAAATTCCACTCAAAAACAGAGTCCACAAGACTAGTGGTAGTGGATGATCCTTCCATAAAACCATGTTGATCGATAGGGGATCACGTTAAGCCTTTCAAGCCACGATCAGTCTAATACGCAGGGCTTTCTCCATCAACGGCCCTAGAAGTCAAACTAATGGGCCATCTGAAAGCAGGCATGGGTTAGAGACTTAGGAGTCACTGTGATTAATGCCTGTTCTTGGAGGTAAGACACAGCTTGACTAGAGCAGCTGTTTAACGGTTTTGGATGTGTACCTTCCTAAAAATTTCGGAAGCTAGGAAGTGCTTCAATCAGTAAAAACTCCAGGTAACCCTATGATCTTGACCAGCCTTCAAGCCTGCTTGTTTCAAAATTTTTGATTTCTTCTTGTAACCAGACGAAAACGAGACTCATTTTGTTGACTGATAGCAGGTTGGTAAACACACCGCTGTACCAAATCTTGGAACATTTTATTGACAACAGAGTGAGTTATGGCATTTTTTAAAAATGGATCTATAATTTTGTCCAGCACTGTATGACCAAAACTAAAAAGTTAGCAAGAGGGTTTAAACTCTACTAGCTGTCAGGAAAGACTTCTTACTTAAAAAGTACTAGCTTGCTTACCCGGCTCCGCACGGTTCTGTCAAAACACTGTAATAAACGCTGTCCCATCCCTACCCCTGTACAGCTTTCCCTGTGCCCACTTCTACACTTCATTTCCTGTTCCCTGTATTGCTTTCAAAATCAGCATGCCCACTTGCCCCCCTGTGCGAACTCTCAGCCCTTCAGCTCAAATTTTGAGAAAATCGATAAAAACGATAAAAGTAAAAGGTAATACCAAAAATCAATATTGTATTTGGAATCGCCAGGCTCACTTACCCCCTGTGCCAACTCCCAACCCTGTAGCTCAAACTTTGCAAAAAATCGATAAAATCGACAAAAGTAATCGATAATTCTAGAAACTACAGTCGAATCATTTCTTATGATCATGTGTGACAAAAAATTTAGGAAGCTAGGAAGTGCTTCAATCAGTAAAAACTCCAGGCGGACCTATAATTTTGATCAGCCTTCAAGCCTGCTTTTTTCAAAATATTTGATTTTTTCTTGATTATCCAAACAAAAACGAAACTCATTTTGTTGACTGATAGTGGGCTGGTAAACACACCGCTGTACCAAATCTTGGAACATTTTATTGACAACAGAGTGAGTTATGGCATTTTTTAAAAATGGATCTATAATTTTGTCCAGCACTGTATGACCAAAACTAAAAAGTTAGCAAGAGGGTTTAAACTCTACTAGCTGTCAGGAAAGACTTCTTACTTAAAAAGTACTAGCTTGCTTACCCGGCTCCGCACGGTTCTGTCAAAACACTGTAATAAACGCTGTCCCATCCCTACCCCTGTACAGCTTTCCCTGTGCCCACTTCTACACTTCATTTCCTGTTCCCTGTATTGCTTTCAAAATCAGCATGCCCACTTGCCCCCCTGTGCGAACTCTCAGCCCTTCAGCTCAAATTTTGAGAAAATCGATAAAAACGATAAAAGTAAAAGGTAATACCAAAAATCAATATTGTATTTGGAATCGCCAGGCTCACTTACCCCCTGTGCCAACTCCCAACCCTGTAGCTCAAACTTTGCAAAAAATCGATAAAATCGACAAAAGTAATCGATAATTCTAGAAACTACAGTCGAATCATTTCTTATGATCATGTGTGACAAAAAATTTAGGAAGCTAGGAAGTGCTTCAATCAGTAAAAACTCCAGGCGGACCTATAATTTTGATCAGCCTTCAAGCCTGCTTTTTTCAAAATATTTGATTTTTTCTTGATTATCCAAACAAAAACGAAACTCATTTTGTTGACTGATAGTGGGCTGGTAAACACACCGCTGTACCAAATCTTGGAACATTTCCTTGACAACAGAGTGAGTTATGGCATTTTTTAGAGTGGACCTATATTTGTCCAGCGCTGTGTAATAATCGATAAAGTGAATAATTCCGCTATTGAGAGTAATAGTTTCAGATGAAAGTTGACCACGTACTATTATAGTTGTGTATTTAAAAAAGAAAATGCCCTCCTTACATCTACTAAACAGCGTAAAGTTATGAAGGTGTTACCGCAACTAAAATTTCGAAACACATCTTCCAACAAGTTTACGAATCAAAAGCCTTCCCTCGTAGGTTAGACACGACAAAAAAATTCTTTCTATTGAGAAGTGAAAAATGCAAACATAAGTAGCATCCAGTAAAATTACTTTATTTCCATCAAATCAAAGAATTTCAAAGCAACATTTTCAGCATTAGCAAAATGAAGGAAGAACGTACAAGAAAATAAGAAAATTGCTGGTTTTCGGGGAATCTGAGATGCGAGAAGACGACGAATCAGCAGCTTTTTACCAATACAGCTAAAGGCAGAGTTTAAAGAAGAGGCACTCCAGCTTTGGAAATTTTGATCATGTTACATGGAAACTAAAAGCATGAAACGCCAAAATGCACTGATAAATGCCAGCGAGGTTGTTTCGCTCCATATAAGAAAGACAAAATTTACGGTAGGTTTGAATTCTCCTAAATTTTTATCTACAGTCATAGTCAAAATTGAAGCAAAAAACTACTACACGATAGCAGCAAACGAAAATGCTATTAAGAAAGAAGTTATGACGAACGGACCAGTGCGATCAGCATTTGATACTTATGTAGATTTCCGGCCATACTCTGGAGGGATATATGAAGTGAGCTCCCGTTATCATACGGTCTTACGAAGTTATGTACGGTGATAAAGATATGTGTATCCTTGAAATTTGGCTGTTTTCAAAGTCGAACGGTTCCTTCCAAGTTTATTAAACTCAAATTTAGTAACTATTTCAGCACATTGCTGGCGCACGTAGTGGAGGTCATGGCATGAAAATCATCGATTGGGATGTCGAGAAAGAAGGACAGAAAAGGCCTTATTGGATTATCGCTAATTCGTGGAATGTCGACTGGGGAGAGAAGGGTATTTTTATGTTACTATATCAATTACGGAGAATCATCTTGTCTATCATGTACATTGGTTCATATTTGATGCGCGTTTATTATACCTCTTCTTTCAAGCGCTGGTTTTTGAAGTAAAACCGTAATCTTTCAAACTACGTGAAAGTTCGCTTCTCCTAGGTTTCCCTATAAACTTTCGTCTTCGGGAAGTCTTTGAAAGCGAAGTTCCTTGCTTTTAAAGTTAAGGAATTGTAGCTTTATTCTACCCGCTCTAAATCAATGAAGGATGATCAGATTTGTTTCAAGAAACATGTTATAATTGAGAAGATTTTTGCTACGAAATGCTCACCGATCCAAATTTTTTTGAAATTTCCTAAGCCGAAAAGCTTTTACTCAAACTTGGCTATTTGTTGGGACCATTCTGGTCTGCAGAAAAAGCTTACAAGGGAATGGGCAGAAGTCGAAGTCGCCAATCCAGAACAAGACGCATACCCTTCGGTGCTAGAAGCTGATTTCAAATCAGTCTTCCATATCTACAGATCAGAACAGATCAGATCTGCATATACACGCCTTTGTAGGCGAAGTTATGGGCAGCTTTACAGCGCAAAAACTGTACACAAAAATTGCAAATCTAGGCAAATTATTGCCCTTTAGCTCACCTCTAGGTACGGGCCAAATAAAGTGACCTACAGTACTGGCCATAATTACAAAGACACTTTAGAAACTTCGTAATTTGCGTTCTTGTTGAGGAAACTGCCTGAAACTTTGCTGTTTAGTGCAGATGCATACATGATGTCTCAAAACGGCTTCCAATTTTGTTGAGTTTGAATGGAGAAACTTAGAAAAATTCGAAAAACTCCTACCGAAAGCTTTACAAAATTATAAAGACACAAGGGTTTTTTTTTTGAACACTACGCATCCTCAACTCTGAAATTCTTCTGTGCAGTTACATACTAAAATACGAAACATTATCAACATATGCGACCTGCTATCCTTCTCAAAGAGAAACGTTCACTGCAGTTTTTGCTTTCAAAAGCACCAAAAGACAATCTGCTTCAACAACAGCGTTTGAAGAGTTTTCAAGCTCTTGTTCATCTCAGATGATAGTTATGGAATCAACTGAGCTAAATGTTGAAGAGCGCTATCGTAAACTCTGCATGATCGCTGATATTGCGGACAGACTCCAACCTTAACATAGTTTGTCACGCTTTCAAACCACAAAACTCAATTTTCAAGCAACAGGAAGTACTGTAATGTAGCCAGTCGGCTATACACAGTACACTTGGTGCATAGTTAGGAAACTATTTCGAAGTTAGCATAATGCTTCAGCCACAGTTGTCACCCACTGAATGTTGAGCGAAGCAGCCTGC